TTTGGCTTCCAGTTCAACGGTGCCTCGGTTGCCCGGGACAGAAGTCGAACTAGTTTCGTGGTGGTTCGTAGCTTGCGGTGATTTAGGTGTTCGAATGGCCATTAGAGATATCCAGTGTCAGGCGGTGGTCGGTGGCCGTTGAACGGAAGCAGCAACTTCCGTTCAAACGGTATCAGGTGGTTCCGGAGATAACCGAAGAGACTTCGGTATCATGGGAGGCTGGGTTATGTGGAGTGGCCGTATCGGAGGGCTGAGAACGTTACTCGGTCGTTTGGAGGATTTTGGCGTGTTGGTAATTGGTAGCGGCGTATCGACTCTGGCATTTGGGTTCGGACTGAAGTCAGGGGTGATCGTCCTGTCACTGGCGTTCCCCGGTGATGTGGATCTATCGCTGGTGACGTCAATCACTTCAACCAGGTTGAAGTCCAGTGAATTTCTGGGTGTGACTGGCGAGGAGACTGTAACAGGAGTCTTAGCCGTAGGTGTGCCCGGTTCGGCGGTTTTGGTTTCCGAGGTGGGCACATATGCGGTGGTTACAATTTTCTTTCCTACGCTTGATTTGGTGCTGGGTTTTTCGGTAAACGTATTTATAATCTTTTTACTGCCCGTTGCTACTTGCAACGGAGCGGATGTGGCCTTCGGCCTTTGCGATAGCGGTCTCTGGGGAGCCGGTACCGGAGGGGACCGACCGGACGTTTTCATGGCTGCCTCAATCTGTTGTAGTTTTGTTTGAGTGGTAATCTGGGTGGCCACGAGGGCCTTGATGGACTGCTGAAAGTTATCGTTCATCTGCAGCATCTGTTGCTGCATCATTGCGAAAAAATTCTCTAGTGGCGGGTTAGCAGGTGGGGTGTCAATCGTGTTATTGGAGTTGTCAGAATTCCTTATAGCAAGCGCAGCCTTGAGCTGGGCGATCTCCGTGTCCCTGTCACGAACCGCATTGGCAAGGTCTTCGATTTTTCTGCTCATTTCTGCTAGAGTTCCCTCCAGGCTGGCCGAGGCGACACCCGAAAAGGAGGTAGCCCCATGGCTTTGGTCATATAACCTTCTCGCCTCAGGATATGACAGATCTCTGTCCACCTTGAGCTTCTGTATATCGTTTTCCCTGCAATAACTCGGGCATGCTCGGTCGGATATTGAGTGCTCATCAGTTTTGCAACGGGGACAGAACTTTGGGTTGTTGCACGATCTGTCCTCAGCGATCGGATGATCGCCGGAACACTTCCCACAGATCGGCTTGGCTGACCTACAGCGCATTCGTGTATGTCCGAAGGCCCAGCAGTTGAAACATTGCATGGGCGACGGATAATATGGCCGGGTACGACAACGGAGGAAACCAAAATCGATGTATTCGGGGAAGCACGTGCCCTCACATGTGAGTATGAGGGTTGGTGTGTTCACCCTACCGCCGTTAGCCCTGCGCGTGATTCGTCGGACGTCTTTGACACCTTGTTCGCTTAGGTCCTGGAGCAGAAAATTTTCGGTATCATCGACCACATCACGGCAGCTTACTACGCATCTCGTAGAGTTGAGCGAGGGATGGGGTATCACCTCAACTTTCATACCGCATTTAAGTTGCTTCATCTGCAGCAGCCTTTCGTATTGGTGAGCACTCCTAACCTTCAGTGCGTAGGTGGCTCCTTGCGCCTCTTTGAAAGCACCTTCTATTTGTCCTCCTGCAATACGCTGTACATCCCTGCGAATATCAAAAGGTCGATTCGGCAATTTTTGACGTGGATCTCCTAGCCCTTGCAGACGTAGGATTTGCACCGTACCGTAATTCCCCTGCGGGTCCATAAAGGGTGGTAACCTTGCTCCATTACGTCCTCCTACGCCGTGTCGATAGCCGCCACCCGGATCCGGTTGGTCCCCCCATGATGGAGGGCCCCCCATAGAAGTCGCCATTAGGGCGACCCCAACCCAGCCTCCCAAATAAAAATCTCTAGCAGCTCACCTGGCTTCTGATGACGTTTCGGTGAAAAGCGCTGCAGCGATGAATTGACAGCGATATATATCGCGGTCAGACGACAAAAATCACTTCACTGGTCCCAGAGGAAAGTTTTTCGAATTAAATCGCCCACTAGGGCCACCGCAATCAAAGCACCGATACTAATAGCCCGTGTGGTGAGAGGAGAGAGGCTCAACTCTTAAAATACCACAGCACTGTACACACACGAACGGGATCTTCACCACGGGGTTCGCACACGGTGGAGAGAAACAGTCGAACGTGAAAAAAACTCTCCCGCACTGACAAACGTACTCGTCGACGCCGCCGGTAGGGAGTCAAGGTCGCCCTGGTATGCGTGCAGTATTTGGCCGTCAACACCACCGGTATCGGGAGAAATCCGCTGCGCACACTTGTCGACACTCCGGGAGAGGGAGAGAGTTTTCTTTCTTCGTTCACCAGTATCGCTACTTCTTTGGTGGATGTGAAGCCGGGCCGAGACGGACGAACGGGCCCTATTCACCAACCACCACTATCACTTTGTATGGGATGAGCCCAATATTTGCCCCAAACCTCCGTAGGGGTATGTGGGCTTCGAAACAACGCAATTAGAGTTCACTTCACAAATGATAAACCCCCTCGCCCGTTCCAGCAGGTCGAAAGGGGTTTGTTTTTCGGCCTTTTCTTCCGGTTTTTCCTCTGCAGCTTTTCCGGATTCACGTTAGGCACATGCAAAAATACTAATACTCAAAGCCTAGTAGACGCACTAGACGGAGTTGGACACTGTAAAACACTTACTAATCGCTTCTTCGATAGCGAAAAATCACTCTTCCCCCTCGCCCCTAAGCGGACAAAAGGGGGGAATTTCGCGAAATTTTTTTTTTCGTAAAAAGCACTCACGCCGTTTAATTCGCGTAAAAAACACCTTTTGGATCAACGCTAATTACAGCGATTAATAACTACAAGTTAAATAAAACACTACGGTTCACTGGTTAAAATCAAAACAACAGTAAAATTGGACGATTAAAACGGAGTGAAAATAAACTTAGCTTGTCTGTATGAGAGCCAGCTCATTGAATGATTATTTCAGATAATTCCATTGTCATATAGATATTTTTGCATCTGTTTCAATGCCTCCAGTATCTGGTTCCTTAAATTCAGGATTATCACTAGGAATGATATATTCGAAGCTACTATATCGCGTGGTACGTAAAATCATGCATGTTCAACCGAGGTGAATATTATAATGCAAACAAAAAAAAATCTGAGGACAGTAGCCACCATCCAGGATCTGACCCTGGTGCTCCGGAAGTAATTATAAACTAACGGTCCTAGCTGCCCCGTAACGTGGGTAGATCACCTTTTCGTGGTACCATGGTACAATGAAAAGGAACATCTAAGCAACCTGTTAATTTTACCATTGATTCAGCATAGGACTCTAAATCAATACCTAAAATCCCATAGAACCAAAATCGTCAAAATCGAACACACGTTGGATTGCTGTTTTCCATTTGGTGAATTTTCACTTTCTTTTTAAAGATGGGAAATTTTCAAATAACCCTGGCTCTAACACCACTATCAGGTAGATGAAATTTTCCCCTATTTGATGGTAGTGTTAGTATGCGTGGGCGAGCTACCAGTTACGCCAAATCGACGTCCCTTCGAAAACGTAATCGAGATTAGGTGAATTTTCACTTAAATTTGACACTTCGAAAATAAATTATATTTTTGGAAAATCTCTATGATGTTGATCACCGAATTTCGAGGAATTGTTTGTCAAAATTGATCTCTGGTCGGCCAGAAATAAGTCTGGTAGAAAAGCAGGTTTATTTTAAAATTTTCCATCTGTCAAATTTAAGTGAAAATTCACCAAATGAACCACAGCCTTAATGTGGGGGGGTTGACCGCTGTAGTGTATTCCTGATCCCACTATCGAATGGTATTTGCTATAAAATATGAGGTTGTGACAGAATTAAACAAATAGCCTCTTTGAAAACAATTCTATAAATATGTTACTGGAAAAAATGCAATTATTAAAAAGGAGGACATTTTCGGGCAATGTAGAAAAATTGTTAAAAAAAGGAGGACATGTCCTCCTTTAGGATACCATATGGTAACCCTACTCACAATAGTATTCTCTGACATCTGGATTATTAAAAAAATCGGTATAATCTCGAATCAAGCTCGAAAATCGGTACAAAAACCGATAAATCGGTATGTCTGGCAACGCTGATCGGGGGTCATATTTTCATACATTTTTAGGGCTTGATAAATCATTTTTGGATGTGATTTATATGAGCTTACGAGTGGCGCTGATATCTTGTCGCTTTTATTTTCGGGAAGTGGATAGGGTCTGCGCATACTTTAGTCACATTAGCAGGGGCTGTTCATAAACCTCGTAAATACTTAAGGGGGGAGAGAGGGGGTTGCTTTTGTTTACAGAGTCTCTTTGATTATTCATATAAGCTTCCAAAAAATAAATTGTATTAACGTTTGTTTACGCAGAAGGAAAGGGTCTTCCAAAAACTGTATACAAAATTTGTGAACGGCCCCTTCGTTATATGCTTCGTTCAACAAAGTACTGTAATGGCGATCCTTATTATTTGCATGCTTTCTAACCTTATTCTTTGTTCGTTTTTATTATATTCACTCAGCTTCTTCCCTTTCGCTATGCTATGACCGATCACATCGGTAATAACCCAACGAACGACTAACCACCATTGTGCAACTTCTCTCACTGTTCCAAGAACAATTACTTCTTCATAACTTACCCCTTTAAAAAAAAACAAACTACCTACATAGCCTTCCGTATCTTAACTATTGAAACAATCGTGACTAATCGTTTTACATTCCTTCCGGTGATCGGGGAGGCGAGGTCCATCAAGCCTCTCATGGCTTGCACGGGCCACATTGCTTCCGATGAACAACAACCGCATCCCCGTACAAAACAAAACAAACAAAAAAATCAAACTGTATCGTTTTCGGTTGTGCTTTGATGTTGTTTCCTCTAAACAAACCAAATAATCCCGTGGAACTTGCGCGCAAACACTCGAAGCCACAGGCAGCGGTCGCAAGTATTGTACCTAATATCATGTCACGGAACCGCTATCAACAGGTGGCGGATTCGCACAGGGAAGAGGAACAGGTTAACCTACTCGGTGAGGAGGGCATTCGAGCTGGTGGTGCCGGGGCACAGGGACAAAACCTAAAACTAGGGTAAATATAAACACTTTATTTTGTTTTCCATTTTCCTTATACTTTCAATAATCTGCCTTTCCCCTTACTCTCTCTCTCTCTACACACCCATGCCTATTTGTTGTGTTATTCTTTGTTGTCAAATCGCAATACGATTAAAAAAAAAAAAGAAAGTTCGCGTGCATCACCAACACCATTAAAACATAATAATAAAGTAACCATAACTGTTAGCAATTGTTCCGGATCTTACCTCATGGAGCAGGTTTCAATATGATTTATGTAACTGTAATAATGACACCAATTAATGTTTCTGTTGTTCGATTGTTTATATTTTACTCTTTTTGTCTGTGGACATTTTTCTTATTTTCAAAAAGTCTATTTATTTTACTTTGCTGTTTTCTATCGTTACGAAGAAACGTTACGAACGCTTCCCGGAGTTCAACCCCAACTACAGCCGTCAGCTAAGGCAAGCGCTCTAGTATGAACGTTATTTTGTTTGAAAATAATCAGTTCTGGTTTTGATTTTCCAAATGTGTTTGTTTGTTTTATTTTCTGTCATGTGAAATAATACGATGAAATTGATGTTGAGTTATGTGTTTGGAAAGGAAGACGAAGGTAAATTTATAAAAAAAATGCACCTACACCATGCTTTGTATATTATGTGTTCACTGCACCTTACATGAATGGTTTTGAAGGTTTTGCTTTGATTGGTTTCGGTGTGTTGTTGGTTGTTGTATGTAAGTTTATTACTCGTAAGGTGACGGTGTGCAAGCTAAGTTCAACTGAAAATTGCAATTTTGAACTTATGTTCTCTTTAAAGATAAATCTTTCTTACAGTTTTAAATATCTACAGGGTGAGCCAGACTTGAAATCTGACTAGGCTATTAAGGTCTGATTTGTAATCGATTGCGAACTAGTGAGCAGTGTTGGCAAAATCATCAATCAAATGATATTTCTCCACTATCATACGCTCTCAATATCACGCGTGATATTGGAACAAAATATCATGCTTGATATAGATTTTACAAGCTCCTTTGATATTGCGAGACTATTTACAACGTGCAAAAATCAAGCTGAGAGGTGAATCGACACAAAAATGATTCCGTTGCACATCGTTTTCTTAGAAAGAGAAAGTATGGTTTGCTATCTCTTTTTACTCTTCATCGATGGCAGACACGAAGTGACTGCTGCCAGCCGTTATGGAAGTTTCGGTTGCGTTCGGGTGTAAAGCAAAAATCATGAAGCTCAATCTCACCACAGTTTGTTGCGATTTACAGCTGATGAGTTGTCTACGAAAATCAAGCGTGATCTTGGGCGTTGGTACGATTTGATTTTTTGATATTTTCCCAACACTGCTAGTGAGAGTCTATGATAAGAGAGAAGCGGATTGACTGGTCAAAGCCAGAGCCAATGGAGCAGCGCCTATCTTGATTACATAGGCTAGAAACTGACTAGACATAGGATGCCAAGGCAGTTTGGTTTGAATCCGCGTCTCTCCTATTTTAGCCCTTAACTACAGTCAGATCTCTACTATTCGATGTCCACCAACTCGATATCGAGTTATAGAACCATAGTAAAAATTGAACTGCATGACTACTGTGATAGCGATTGTGCATGGGATTATTATTCTATAAGTCGATTATTTTATAACTCGATAGTCCCCTCAATATCGAGTTGTAGAGAGTTCACTGTAATTTGAACCACTCCAATGAATATTCATGAAATAGGTAAGATGTGTAGAGGTCGGAAATCGATGTCCAGTGCCATATTTAAATTCGATTTACGATTTTCTGGGAAAATAATATCAGATATTAGGGGTATTTTCGGAATGGTGCCATCATTGTCCGTAGTCATTTTAGAATCCAAGGTTAAGGATTATTATTTATTTATTTATGTTATGGTCAACCGGTAAAATGTTCACCCCAATGACAGTATACACTTATTTCTACATTGTAGCATCTGTTAAAGATGCAACACATCCTCTGCATGGACTCATTTCATCCGTAGTTGGTTCGTGAGAGGCGGTTGTTCAGGAAAGCATGCGATCGTAGATTACGGCGGCGGGTATTGATGTCGATACTACTCAGCAGCGTAGAACAGTCAATGTTTCCCTGAAGAAGATCACCGACGAAGCTCGCCATTGCTACGTTACGTCTCGCATCCAAAAGCTCTAAGTTGATAAGCATACAACGGCTTTATTTTTTTTTTCCTTTATTTAACGTCGGTCTCTGTTCCGCAGTCTAGTGAAGAAGCGAACGCTTGCGGCCAAAGGAAATTACAGAGCCTTTCGAGACATTCAGTGACTTGCGATTAATACGACACCACTCAGCGAAGACTTCCAATTGTTGCTGCAAGAAAATGGCATCACTAGGTTCTTTTATCACGAAGTAGAGTTTCAAGTCGTCCGCATAAGAAGGCATTTCAGGATGGTATTGACGTCATTCATGTACAGCAAAAACAGAGACGTTCCCCAAGACCTTGGGGAACGCCGGATGTCACGGGGAAGCATGAAGAAACATAGTCTCCAATCTTGACAGACATGTTTCGACCAGTCAGTTAGGAGTAGAGTCTACTAAGCAGACCATCGTGAACACCTATCCTGTCGTATTTAGTCATGTCATGGTTCATTTTGTCAAATGCTGCGGAGAGGTCTGTGTAGATGGCATCTACTTGATGGCCACGTTCTACTTCATGAATGATGAACGAAGTGAACGTAACTAAATTGGTCGTCGTGGAACGCTGAAGGCATGAAGCCATGCTGATCCGTCGAGATACAGTGTTGAACCAATTTTTCGAGTATAATCAACTCAAAAAGTTTGGAGGTCACTTAACGAAGCTATTGCACGATAGTTTGAAACAGTCCTTTTGCAGCCTTTCTTGTGGATTGGGAACACGAAAGACTCTTTCCAGCAAGCTGGGAAAACCCCAGACATCAAGGAGAGATTGAAAACGTTGGCTAGAGGTGTCGCGAGAGCAGTCAGGCAGCGTTTGAGGACTAACGACGGTACGCCATCTGGACCGGAACCCGTTGAAGTTTTTAGCTGCTTCCCGGATGAAATAACCATTTCGCCGGTGATAGAAAATGGACGGCTGGAGAAAGTTGAGGGAGAGACGTTACTAGACGCAGCAATTACATCTTGAGTGCTGAGTCGTTCGTCGTTGAAAACACTGCTGAATTGTGTGCGAAACAAGTCGGCAATACCCACGATAGAGTCCACTTCCACTACGCCGTTCGTCATACTTGCGGGTAGTCCGCTTTCGTTTCTTTGGGCATTGACAGGCGCCAAAAGTTTTTAGGATTTGATTTTAGACGACGCTGAAGCTGGTCTTGTTGTGCATGGTACAGTTGGTTGTTGAGTCGCTTGTAATCCGTGTTCGCTTTAGAATAATATGCTTTCGAGGAATCGGTTCGGTATTTCCTGTGCTTACGAAGAGCAGCCCTTTTAAATTGTTTCAATCGCTTAAGCTCTGAATTCGCTAAGGCAGGTTTGACAGGTTCGCGACTTAATCGCTTAGGTAGGAATTGATCGATTGCGTACAAAAGAATGTTGGATGTCGTCGATGCCGCGAGGTTAGAATCACAGTTACGCAGTGCCTCTTCCCAGTCGACATTTGAGAGAAAATCATTCATTTCGCTGCTATACAGGACGCTCTCTACAGTGTCTTTGAAATTACGATGAACGTTGAGCTTTATGCTCACCATCAGAGGAGGATGATGTCAACTGTTTTTAACATGCGCAGAGGGGGCTGATATGATAATGCACATCTCCTCATTTACGAAACAGAGATCGAGCATGCGGTTGTTATGGTTTGGAATTCCATTCATCTGTCCGAGTCTTGCAGTGCAATAGGCATCCAGCAAATTACATGATGCCTGACCAATCGACGAACGGGATGCACAAGGAAAGTGAAATCCACGAGCAATGCGCTTCCAGCACACGTCGCGTAGGTTGAATCCATCTTCGATTCTTATTCCGAACGCCGGTCTTGTACCGAACATATCCATATTGATTGTAGAATATCCGTCCCATTCTCGGAAACCGGTAGTGGTTTCAGATGCGTATTAGCTTTTCGGAAATCTCAATGATGATTTTGAGTTCGCCATCTTGGATTCCAAAATGGCGGCAGGCATGATTTTCAGCTTTTTCATTAACCTTCCTAGTGCATTGGGGTCGTTTTTGACTGGGCTTCTCTCAGTAAAATAGGCTCTACTTTAAATATTGATTCAAATTAGAGAGGTTCTACTGTTTGCTCTGTCATTATCGTTTGTTTTCATTGTCGCTGGGAATATTTCATTTCAAAACTTAATCAATACTCTAAGTTATTTGCGTGTTAGGGAGGGAATTCTTCAACTTGCTGCTATAACAAAGTAAATTTTCGAAAAGACGATCGATAAGTCGTCAGTTTTGCAGATTTCATCTAGTAAGGGAAAAGATTTTCATTCGTTGGAATCAAAAAAAGTACTTTCATCCACCAATCGCTTCAGATCAGAGGATTTTCTTTGCCCACTGGTAGGACAAACGTGATGAATCTGATTCGGAACTTCTATAAAGATGCCAAAAAGCAGGTAAAATTTAACATTGTTTTCGATGAATACAAAGATCAACATGTTTGTTTTGATTTGAAAACAGGTTATGGAGTAGATTCAAACTCGCCGTGCTGATAAGTTCAGTCTCACTCTAGACGAGTGGACAAAGCAGTACCGTTGTACTCCTTTAATCGAGTACCTCAAAAGGTACAATTTGAGGTACTAGCTTAAAGAAATACAACGGTAGTACAACAGTGTACTTTGTATGTCTGTACAAGGTATTACATTGTGCAGATGGAACGACTTTCAATCTTGGATTGGCTCGAATAAAGGGGTCTTGTACTGCTGAACATATGGTTGATTTGATTCGGGAGTAATTGGCAGAATTCGATTTGACCAGCGCAGATGTCATTGGGTCAACCACAGATGGTGATGTTCAAGTTTGATTCTCTAACAGATTACCTACATCACACTTGCTACAACCATGGCCTTC